TTGTACGATACACACAGCACAAGGAGATACAAATGGAGCAGGAGTTAATTAACTGAATACGAGAAGCTGCTTGATAAGAGTGGATAATAAGGAGACTACTACACAGGCACTAGCTTGTTTGGAGCACAAACACCAGTATTCGAGGTTATGAGAACAGGTTGACATTTCGTCAACAAATCTTGTTGAATTTACAGTTTATCCTTGTCTATCTTATTGTCAGTCTGTATAGTTCCATGGTTACCGGAGTTTTAAATTATTACGAAGCCACAGGTATTTGCGCAATGTTACTTAGGCAGATTACCTTGAAAAACATTGCGGCCGTATTTCTGATATAGTTTTTTGCAAATTTCTCAGTTTTTAATAACAATTAATTTATTTGACTATTTTTTCTGTACTCCTATAACAGCGCCAGACAACACCTCCAGAGGAATGACGCCAATTTTGAATCACCCTGTATATAATAAATACTGGTAACAAGTTGTATAGCTTCAGGATCAAAATCAAAGACATCGTCTTCATTGAATTCGCCGTCGCTAAGGCCTTCAATGTCTGATAATCGACTATTTGGACTCATTATAAACCAGGATCATATAGGTAATACTCTGTCGACAACTATAAAAAAGAAAAAAGTACTGTTAAGTTTACCTTCTAATTTTACTCCCCTGACTCAGAGTGCACACAAATGTGTACGTGTTCTTAAAGACAAAAAAATATGTTTCCGAAAAAAAAATTTTCTAAACTATTTCCACCACAAACAAAACGCCACAAAGATCTAACAGATAATGTTGCAAACGTTACACCATTAATGACCGCTAGCTGTTAGTATTAGAGAAATAAACTTTTGTAGAAAACTCTTAGAGGGTGTTACTTATACTACATGTAACCATATAATGTACACAAATGTGGACACAATGAACAAGCAGCTAAAATTCTTTCTGAATTTATGTAAGGATACTGATAAATTGATGTACACAAACGTGTACACAGTGACCGAAAGGGCTAGTGTGACATGCTCGCTGCATTTTTCAGAATCATTGCATATTAACACTTTTTCTGATTCCATAGCATTAACATGGATGAGTGAAATAATCAAGATAAAACGCCAGTATTCACTCCCAAAATTGCTATTTTATTGCCAGGAATCGTGTATTCTGCTTCCTGCTGTGTTTGTGCGCCCCCTTAATCCTTCATACCTTGCCCCATATAGACTCAGAACATTTCAATTGCTGTTCCCTAATTAGACTGATGCATTAAATGTGTATCTTAGCCCATATTCGATCCAATTTATTTAGCGAACAAGGGGGTGCAAATTTATCAAACTTAATGCCACCAGAGGGAATCCTGAGGGAGTTGTAATAAGCTTTTGGGGGTTTATGTAACCGTTGACAGGGCTAAACCCGTACTTCTTTAATAATGAACACCTGGCAAATACTGAGCTCGGATTTAGGCCCTTAATTTTCGAAATTTAAATATGGCTTCAAAAATTTTGGCTGATTCAGATGTCGCTCCTACAAGAGAAAGGATTACCCATAAGCGTGAATGCGGCATAGCCAGTCTGGATAGAAATATATCAAGTTTCACCGGGGACATACATTTGCTAGTACGGAATTAGATAGAGCTATCATTTAAAGTGAATAACCATGTTAGTACGCCAGCGGCAACTTGGCTTCGCGAGTAACGTCTAAGCCACATTTTCGATGGAGATATGTGACATCGGCCCTATTTTCATCTTGTTTCCAACATTTTCCCCAGCCCATGGTTTAACCAAGAGTTTGGATTGTAGGCGGATGTTCCAGATAATTTTCCTTAATTAATAATGGGTGGATTTGCTGCATATGGGACTCGGTGCTCGGGTTTTAAGTCTCCAGTTCGTATAGACTACAGTGTTCACTAGTGAAAGATTTGATTTTGATTGACAAATTGATTTTAATTAAAAAATATTCATCTCGTCAAAAGTTCTAGTTACCCAACTTTCGTGCTTTCGAGTCGATTCTTCACCTACATGCTAAGCTGCTCGGAAGCGATCGGATAAAGTAAATTTGTTAGTTTTTCATGCTGCAAAGGAAATCAAGGCGTTGTTTTTGGTTTGTTGTCTAAGTGTTTACACATTCATCTAACAGACTCACTATACGCGGTTACAAGAAAAAAAATCTCCTTCTAGCTAATTATAGTACCGCAAATAACGAAAATGAATTCACTTGAAACGTTCCAAAAAGCAAAAACTCTTGCCGGATAGAATGGCATAAGTAAGCCTAATTTATGCCTCTCTTATGCAAGAAGGTCCTCGGCTGGCACCGCTTGAAATAGAATGTAAAATATTCACACAGTGATATTTAAATACGTTAATTAGACTGCAGCAGTGCTCAAGCTGATATAATAAAGCTTGCATTCTCATTTCTGTTGCATATATGCATATCCTCGTCCTTAGTGCAGGATTTGAAAAATCAACTGGATCTTTTGTATGGAGGACACATTGTTAATGCCTTTTTGGAAGTTGCCACAGTGTTAGAGAAACTTCGAGAAATAACCGCCTGAAAGCAGTCCAAATAATCGTCCCAGCATTTTATTTTCGCAGTTCTCAACCATGTTTCGGCAATGCAAGCAAAGGTGAGTTTGCTCGATCTGTATCAACTGTTTTATTCAACCCTGCGGGACAACAAAGTAAATATCCGCATCCTGATAATATTGACTGATGTTTTTGGAAAACGTTGACCAATAATTATTCACCTGATATCTCAAATGCGCACTGATGTATACAATGGCCTTTACATATTAATCTGGAAGGTTGATTTATACCGAAAAGCCCGAGTTATAATAGTTATAACACTGCCAGTTTTAATCCAATGAAAAAATTGTTATTTAATTAATTTTGTTATACAGGGTCCGCCTTTGGGAACTTACACTAGAAGTATTCGCCAAACAGAAACTACCGGAGTTCTGAAACTTTCAATCCAAGGTAATGATGTTGGGCCTAACCCATCTAAACTATTTTCAAGGCGGTAACACTTCCGGTTATACCGGAAGTAGGTACTTACTCGCTTATTTTTAATGGAACACCCTGTATATTATAAAATTTTTGGCCTCGCGGTAGGATTTTTGAGTCATTTTGTTAAATGAACTGCGTACGAACTTTCAACCGTTGTGGAATAATATCCATTTTTCCAAAAAATTGACTGGTGCAGGCTTGGAAGTAATTCGTTGTTCCGCCTATTTAGGTCAATCAATTTGAATATAACTTTAGCTTGTTCTAGCCAAAGGTGCCATGTCTCAATGTGCAAAAAATGAGTTTTGCATCTCTCATAAAAAAGAAGTTATG